GCCCTACAAGTCGCTACAGCAACGCACAGCTCCTATCTAGCGGGAATGTAGTGAAGAGGTGAAACAGCCTGAGGCTGCTCCTCAGTTATCCACTGCGACGAACAGGGGGGACTGTGTACACCCTGGGTAACATCCTGCAGCGCCAGAACAGAGGGGAGGGGGAGCACACTCTTGCTTGCCCACCCCCAGCCTCACCCCACATCCCCGTAAAGCTGCTGACAAACTTTCCCCACTTGCTGGAGTTATGCTACTGAAGCTTGCTAAGTATGTAGTCTCCTGAGTTCACAATTCAAGTAAATTCCATGTTTCTGGATGCAGATTCATAAGATGAACACACAGACTTACTTTAAAGATCTAGGTTAGGTTCTGGCTTTCACCCTTTGCATTACTTTCAGTAGATCACCTCTCTCAAGTCTGATTTCTCACCTGGAATTGGCAGAAACAGTATTTTCTCTTCCCACCTGACAGGATGCTGTTGAGGATCAAACTGAAGTAATGGGGAGAAAAGAATGCTTCAGATAGTAAAACTAAAAGGTCATCATTTTGCTGTAAAAGGCATTTTGGTTGGTAATGGTATTTACACCAAGTATCTTTAAATACAGTTTTCTATTGCATTTAAAGGGATTCACAGTATACAATGTAACCACAACTGTTTAGGGACATTTACTGGAGTAGGAAATGGCAACCCACTCCAGTATTCTTGCCTAGAGAATTCCATGGACAGAGGAGCCTGGCAGGCTACAGTCCATGGGGTCATAAAGTCATACATGATTGAGCAACTAACATACACTAGCAACACATATATAGCACGAAATGAAATATACCTATATTCAACTTTCAGAAGGCAGTCCTACAAAACTTTTATAGTAGATTTGTTGAATGTGTATTTGGCCTCAATAAAGCTGACCAAAAAACAAAACAAAACACCTTTTCTGCTTGCCTAGGTATTTATTTCTTCCACACTGTTAAAGCATGAATCCCTGCTGCTGAAATACAGTAATACGCTCTTTTAACTTAGAAATAGTAAACACAAAAATTTCTAAAACACACAACAAACTATATACTGGTAACACAAAGTCCCACTGCTCATAAAGGGTGCCAAGTAAATGAAGATGACAATTGTGAGAAAGCGTCTACGTCCTCAACGCAAAACAAGAGAAGGCTACTTCAACAATATCAGATGCCATCAAATTCAGTGCCGCTCCAGAAGAAAGGCTAGGTGTGGGTGAAAAGCACTGCTTTCCCTTCCTCCCCTTGCTACCTTTTGGGGCACCTTTCCTATCTCAGCATCACCTCCGCATGCTCTCTTAGAATCACCCCTGACCTCCCCAGCCTGCGCAGACCTCTCCCACCTGTCACTGGTGGCAATGGCACTGGTCAGAAATCCCACCTGACCCTACTGGACCCTGCGCACATCCACGCTCCCCTGGCTGGACTGCAAGCGCCCTGCAGGCAGCATCCTAGCTGGTCAGCTCCGCAGCATCAGGTGTACTACGCCCGGAGGGCCTACCCACCGGACTCAGCTAACGGACAGGATGGCTCCGCAGGCCAGGCCCGATACACGCACTGGATCATGACCATCCGAGTCCTTCCTGCTTCTCAGGCCACCAAGGACACCTCCTGCTCCACCTAACCCTTCAGCTCTTTCCGTTCGGAGCGCCCCTCCCTCAAATTTTATCACGTGAGCAGGGAACACACCTTGCTCTGCCTGGCAGAACTTTATCCCAGAAACCACAAACACACATCCCCTCACTAAAATAAGGCTGAGTCTCGCAGAATGTTATTGCCAGGTCTCTCCCCGCTTTTCCATCTATTCAAATGCTTCCACTCTGTGTGTAATGTAATTCCTTTAGTCCTTTATTTGCTTTAATATATGTCCTTAAAATCTCTGTTTTAGACTAGCAATTACCGGAGACAAAGTTACACCTTGTTTAACATGTTCAATGGTGATCCCTTCCAAGGCCCCCACACTAACGGACCATTTCACAACAATGTGACGGTGACAAATATGTAACCAAGAACCCAACATAAATATAATGGTGAATTTATTCTTTGGATTATTTAAACAGAGCCATTAAAAACTGATTTTTTTGTTCCACATTTACAAAAGAGCCCCCGTGCTCTTTTACAAGGGTCAAAACTAGAAAGGAAGGGGGAAAAAGTGGTCAAGAGTAGAAAAATCCTTTTTGATAAAACTCTGTTGTGATTAGCAGCACATTAAGTATCTAACCATCCAGCAACAGAACTGCCCCAAAGGCCAATCCATTGTGCACCATCCTGGAAACAGCTGAAAGTATATAGTGCAACAAGCCTTTCTGTTAAAGGTGTCATGTTACAAATTTGTCCCTCTTTATAAAACAAAATATAAAACAACCTCATTTAACAATAGCAAAGTTGCAAAGCCATTCAAAAGTTACCAGTTTCAGAGGACAAGCTTCAAGGCCGAACTTGTCTGGTATGATCTACATTTCATATGTTTAAAGATTTTTCACTCAAACATGTCAAGATTAATGAAGCAAATGAGATCTATCCTGTAGTAAAATCATAATATTTTCATGGAGTGAAATCAGAGCATTTAACTCTTGGCTGTTTCCACATCTCTCACTTCAGATAAGCCGATTTTACAAAATTAACATCAAACTCAATTCTTTATCAGCTTTTAAATAGAGTATTATTAGTGACTTACATATCACCAGACTTACTCATTCCTCTCCACTACTTAACAAATTTACTTCAACCAGACAAGAATCTCATGACTGATTTGTTTTTTGTTTTTGATTGTTTCTCTCACTTCCACATTAAATAATAGTCTAGGAATTGTATTAAAACTGCAGCCACAAAATTCAAGTTTTGTTTCAACAGGAGAAAGAGATTTTTACACCACTAGTAGAAAAACGCTAGTGGTCAGTCAAAGAAATATTTGCACAAGCTGAACAGCTGTGTCTACTGCAAATCTGAAGGCACTGCTGCAGCAATATAATTCAATTTGGACCCATTCATTATAAACTGATTTTCAGATGCTGCTACTGCAAGACTGTAGTGGAGAAATGTAAGTAGCGCTGGGAATCAAATCATGGGCAACAGAGCACAAGTTTGTGTTTTACTGCAAAGGAGAGCTCTGAAAGAGCAAACACAACTAGTACATAACGCTACCGTAAACCAGCCCAGAAGAACCTAGAATCATTAAACCAATAGAAAACTAAAATACTTCCCTTAGGTAACTGATATAAGTCCCGAAGACAGTCTCCAGACAAGCAGTTTAAAAGATTTATTCAATACTCTGATAAAAATTGTAATTGAAAAAATGGTAATTCCTACATTCCTGAACATAATTTATATATGTGTGTATATATATGTACGCTGTAAGAACACAAGCTCCCCTGGAGACTGCAGCCCAGATGAATCTGCTATTTAACTTTCTTCCGAAGTTATACACGTGAAATTAACACTCCTCAGCAACTTTTATGACATCTTGCTAACAAGTTCTGGGTTGTGAAAAATGGAATGGCTTAGGTGACCAGCGACAAGAGTTTTCAAAATAGCACTAAGCATTTTCCCAAGAAGCACATTCCAAGAAACTTATAAGTCGTAACTCACGGGCTGGCTGCTGTTAGGAAAGTCCTCTTGTCGCAGCCTTGTGAATATGTTACCGATTCAGAAAACACTTCGGGATTCCTTTCGGCTGCACTATTTCCTTCTCTCACTAGCCAGCGTAATCTCCGCTGTCATCCCTCCAGCTAGCCACGCTTGTGTGGACGGACACACGGCGGCAGTGGGAGGCAGACGGAATCACCACGCACAATACACACGCTCCACTTTACTTTTCCTCCCTGGAAGTACCACTCGGTCTCCCGGCGAGGAGGGCTCCCCCAACTCCGGGCGATCCAAGCGCACCGGGCATGTGCCGCCCCACTCGGGCCTCAAGACAATCTTCCGACAAACTTCCCCCCTCGGCGGCAGGGGTCCAGGGGAAGGGGCTGCGCGGGCCTTCGCTTCGCGGGCCCCGCACAGCCCGCCGCCGAGCTGGGGTCTCCTGGGGGCACTCGCCTCCGGATGGGGCTGACAAGCAACCCCCGGGGGCCCGGCCCCCCGTCCGGCCCGCTTCTCACCTGTGCTGTCATTCGCCGAGAAGCCGGGCGAGCTGAGTTTGGCTCGTTTGGGGTTGGGCGGTCCGTCCAGCAAGTTCTCGGCCATTTTCACCTGCTCGCGAAAACAGCCCCGAGCGCGGGAGGCCGGGTCGGCGAGGGCTCCGGGGCTGGGGTCGGCGCCGGCCCCGGCCGGCTGCGAGGGGAGAGGAGCGAGCGCGAGCCGCGAGCGAGCGCCGAGGGAGAGGGAGGGCGCAGGGCCGGGTGGGGGAGGCGGCGGCCAAATCTCAGCCACAGCAACAGCGCCCCGCAGCGCTCACCGCCCGCCCCCGGCCGCCGCCGCCGCCGCCGCCGCCGCCGCCGGCCGCGGCCCCCTCATCCCCTGCCCGCCTCCCGAGCGCGACACTCCGCGGCGGGGGCGCCCCGGCGGCCCGGCGGCCCCCCCGGGCCCGGCTGGCAGCGACAGCGCCCGGCCGGGCGGCTCAGGCAGTCCCCGGGAACATGGTGCCGCCGCCGCGCCGCCGCCTCGCTCCCCCCCCCCCCCCCGCGCCCCACTTAATTAATTCGCTCGCGGCCCGACTACCGGGGGGCTCCGGGCTCCGCTCCCCGCCCGCGGCCCGCCGCTGCCGCCGTAAGGAAAAACAATGCGTGAAGCGGGGCCGCCGCCGCCGCCGCCGCGGCCCCCCCACCCCCGTTCCGCCGCCGCCGCCGCCGCCGCCGCTGCCGCCGCCGCCGCCGCCGCCGCCGCGGCTCCGGGAGGCCGAGCCGAGAGGCGAGCGGGGCCGCCGGAGCGGGCGCCGAGGGCCGGGCGGAGCGGGCCGGCCGGGCGGAGCGGGGTGCGCGGGCGGTTGTGGGGCCCGGGACCGGCGGGGCCGAGTAGATCGCGCTCGAAGCCCCGGTCGGGTCCGCGACAAGATGGCGGCTGTTGATTCCTCAATTAAAAAAAAAAGAAAGTTTTTTTTCTTCTCTTTCCAGAGCCTGAACGGGGAGGGGGAGGGGGCGGGGCACGCCGGTGCGTCACCCCCCCGCGGCGTCACTACGCACGGCCCCCGCCCCGCCCCCTCCACCTGCGCCGGCCGCGGCGGAAAGAGCCGAGCGCGCTCGGATGGAAAGGGCCGAAGGCGCGGTCGTCTTGCGTCGTGCCGCCGGGCGGCGGAGCGGCGGGGCCGCTGGGCTGCCGGGCGGGGGCCGGGCCTGCGGGACGCCGGCACCGCCGCCACTTTTGTTCTGACGGCGACTGGGCGGCGAGGGTTCTGGCTGCGGCCTGGCCTCAAGCCGGGACCCTGGGCGTGGAGTCGGCGCCGACAGGGCCCGCCTGTCCCACGGGGCGACTCTGCTCGGTCCCGGCTTCTCTTGCCGCTGCCCCGCGACCAGGCCTGGCCACTTCCCCTAGCCGGATACCAGCGATGTGTCGTGGCCTCTGCAGGTTACACATTGCCGTCTGGTCCGCCTGCGAGCGGGTGCAGTGGGGAAACCGAGGCAGGAAGTGGCGGGGCCGGAATTCGAACGCCCCCACGAGATGTGAGGGGGGTCGCCAGGCTTCTGAGCCCCTGTTCCGCAGCCTGATGCGCCGGGGGCGCCAGGTGCGACACCCTCACCTGCCTCGGGGGGTGGTGAGCGCTCTCCCAGCCTGACGCGCTCAACCTGCCCCAGGCCCAGAAGGCCCCATTACATCAAGGCTTAGGGCCTCGACGGCCTTGGTGCGCTCCCCCCACCGCCCCTCGACAACCTCCTGGAGCCCTCAGGTGCTCCAGACAGGTGTGGGGTCCCAGGGGGATCGGCCCGCCTGGCCACTCCCCGCAGGATGGTTCCACAAAAATCTGAGGTGTTCACACATCTCGGTTCTTTTTATCTGCTTTTCAGAACTTGCCAGCGCTTCATCCGAAGTCTTTATCTGAAAGGTATCACCAGCAACCTGTTCCCTAAGCCAGTATTCTGTGAGTCAGCGCCGACTCCTCCCTCCCTCTCCACCCACCGAGCAACCTGCCTCCCAGGTCCTTTACCTGGGCAAACCGCTCTTCCTCCCACTGCCCGGCTCCGATGGCATCTCCCCATTAAGCGTCCCTTGAAAACTATATTTCTCCCCATTCAGCACCAGAGTTAACTTCTTGGGAAAAGAGAAAAAAACTGTTTCAAAGAAACAGCTTATATAGTGTCTGTGATAGTCTTCAAGTGTTAAGACTGAGTGATCTCACTTTCCTGTACCCGCAGAAACGAATGCAACATAGTAAAGCAACTATACCTCAACTTAAAAAAAAAAAAGACTGATCTTTCTACTTTTTTCTGTTTATGTATATTGTTCAAAATCGTGACTGCCCCCCTTTGCATCCCTCTTCCACTATCCGTGCCTCACTCCATCTTTACTTCCCCACACCCACACAGTCACTAAGAAGTTCTTACCACTCACACCTCTTCATACTTTTGCAAATGCTATTCCCTGTGCTGAGAATACATATACCTGGCAAACTAATGCCAAGACCCGGTTCAAATATCACCTGCTCCAGGAAGCCCTCCCAGCCCAGTTTAGGGCTCCCACAGCACTTGTGGGCATACTTCTGTGAAGGTATACCACACACACACTCATTTTTTATCTTTCCTGTTTTTATTTATCTATCAAATATCCCTTGAGAATCTCCTGAGGGCATTGCCACTGCACTAATTTCTTGGGCAAAGAATAAAGAAAGAAACCCCTATCTATTCAAAGAGACCAAACAGCAAGTCCTGGAAATCAGAAACAAACATTCAAGAAGTCACTGCATAAGAAGGCAGGAGGTGTTTAGAGTCACAGAGTAACAGGGGCCAGCAGCAGCCTGTATCTGAATGTGCCTGTGTGTCCCTCTCACCACAAGTCTGGGAGCCCTGTGAGGACAAGGGCCGGGTCTTCATAGCACAGTGCCCTGCAGGAGGCAGCTTTGTAGCTTTTGATGAATGAATGAACGAACAGTGTCAGGCTCCTCCGAGGCCTCGAGGTCTCAAGGACGCTGAGAAGGTTGGGCTCCAGCCTGAAGCAGCTCCAGGCCATTTCCCCACAGAGGGGACAACGCATCAGGTCACTGAGAGGCCTCAGCCAGGGCCTGCTTGGGTCAGTAGGAGTACCTCCAGGCCTCAGAATTTCTGGGTAAATGGTTTCCACAACAGTGGGCACATGAGCTCGTGCCATCCCCTCACTCCCAGAGGGGGAAATGGAGGGTATTCGTCCCTAAGACTCAGGTAAGTGACCTGGACATGTCAGACCTGGGCCTGAAACACAGGTCTTCAAACCTTCAAACCCCATGTTCTTCTGGCCTCCCCACCCTGAAACATACCTGCCCTACAGCCCTTTTTCTGTCTCATTTGTATCCTTTTGTTCCATCCCTCTGGTATTTCCTGATATCTGCTGTTTCTTTCCTTTCTACATCTTCTCCCCTTAGTTTGACTCTTGTCAAAGAACACAGCACTCAGACATAGGTGGGGGAACAGCACGGGAGGAAGTATGGCTTAGCTAAGGGTGATCCCACCCTTAGCCTGGGATCAAGGTTGACACGGACAAAAGGGACCCAGCAGTATTTGAGTGCCTTCTGTATCCCAGGCTTCCCTGCCATATGCTCCACTTGGATCAGCACTTCCCACAACCCTGGATGGAAACATCACTGTCCTCTTTTTACAGAGGAGGGAATAAGGCCCAGAGGAGAGCCACTCACTCCGCGGGATTGCAGACGTGAGGCTGCCTGCTCTCTCCAGTCTCAGAGGCCGTGTCACCAAGGAGTCCCCATTTATAGGATGCTTCAGGGCCAGGAGAGGAGCAAGAGGTAGAAACAGATCAGGAGAGGTTTCCTGGGGAAAGTTCGTTCACATCCATCAACTAATGAATTAAATGTAACGTATTATAGCCACACAATGGAGTATTATTTAGCCACACAAGGAATAAAGCATGGACACAGCTACAAGATGGATGGACCTCGAGAATGTGATGCTCAGTGAAAGAAGACAGCCATCAAAAGACTGTATATTGTATGATTCCACTTATACAAATGTCCAGAATAGGGAAATCCATAGACACAGAAAGTAGATTAGCTGTTGTAGGGGGTTGCTGGGGAGAGGGGGAGACAGTGAATGGTAGCCAAAAAATATGGGGTTTCTGTTAGGGTTATGAAAATGTTCCAAAATTGATGATGATGACGGTTCATAACTCAGAACTGAAAACCACTGAAATCTACACTTTGAGTGAATCACATGGTACATGACCTCTGTCTCAACCAAGCTGGTTCTTAACAGGCTGGTTTGGGAAGAAGGAAGAGAGACAAGGAAAGACAAAGAAAGAGGCAAGTGCTCCCAGCAGAAGGACAAAAGTCAGCGGCCAGTTGGGAGAGTGAAAAAGGGATCTGTGTGGTGGCACCAAGGGAAAGGGTCCAGGGTTGGGGCTGGATTTCCCAATTAGGGGCTGGTGGGTGAACTCAGAGGGAAAAAGACAGAGACCCAGATTCATGGGCCGAAGTGGAGAGAGACGATGTTCATGAGGGAAAACAGAGGAATGTGCGACTCGGGCTCCTGCCTCAGACCCCAGCGGACACTCATGCTCAGTGGGCCCCAAACAGAGGCTGTGACCCTGTCTCCACTCCAGCTCCGCCTCATGTGCCCCACTTCCCAGGAATGGGTCCTGACTCTCTTCTGGAGGCCTTAGAGTAGCTTCCCACTGTTCCCCTTCCTGAACCTTTAATCTCTGCCTCCCCCAGGGCCTTCTGCTCCTCCATAAATGCAGAGTCTTTACAACCAGCCCTGATTCTGCCCCTTCTCCTCCATTCCCAGTCAAGCTGTTGGACCCAGTTGTCTACATTGACCTGACTCACTTCTCTTCTCCCATTCACCGTTTTAATTTTTATTCAATGAAAATTATCAAACAAGTTACAAAAAATAATGCATAGATATTCCTGTCTACATTGTTAAGGTAGGCACTGTTAACATTTTGCCACATTAGCTTCAGACCTTTATTTTACTTATTTATATAAGGAATCACATGTCAGACATAGAGTTGAAGCCCCCATTTCCTCTCTCCCCCAAAGCCACCACTTTCTTGAAGTTGGTGTATATGGTTACCACATAAGATGTGTTTTGGGGGGATTTTTGGCCATGCTATGTGGCATATGGGATCCTAGTTCCCCTGTGGAAACCTGTGCCCCCTGCCTTGGGAGCGCAGCATCTTATCCACTGGGCTGATAAGGAAGTTGCCAAGATGTATTTTTACTGAGTATTTTTACTCAGTTGAACCAAGTGAAATTGTCAGTACCTGACAGTTTCTGATCCCTGCAACCCCCCCAACAAATTAATATGGTTATCTAAATATGACTTGTGCATCCAAGTCTTTGGGCCTCTCAAATTGAAATTGTATTCATTAAACAATAACTCCCCATTCCCTGATCTTCCAGCCCCTGGCAACCATTGTTCCACTCCAAGGTTCATCTGCATGTTGTATCACATGTCAGGAATTCTTTCCTTTTTGAGGTTGAATAATATTCCATTGTACTTATGTATCAGGCTTCCCTGGAGACTCAGCAGTAAAGACTCCACCTGCAATGCAGGAGACTGTCAGCAGTGCAGGAGACTCCCGTTCAATCCCTGGGTCAGGAAGAACCCCTGGAGAAGGAAACCTACTGGCAACCTACTCCAGTATTCTTGTCTGGGAAGTCCCATGGACAGAGGAGCCTGGTGGGCTACAGTCCATGGGGTTGCAAGAGTCTGACATGACTTAGGGACTAAATGACCACCACCACCACCACCACCACTTATATATTCAATACCACACTTTACTTATCCATGCATCCACTGATGGTTGTCTAAGACACTTCCACATTCTGGCTGTTGTGAATAATGCAAAGTTTACAAATAACTCAAGATCCTGCTCTGTCTTACTCCTCACTCCATTCAGGCTGCTGGAACAAAATACCATAGACTAAATGGTTTATGAACAACAGAAATCTTTTTCTCATTGTTCTGGAGGCTGGAAGTCCAAGATCAAGGTGACAGCAGTTTTGGTGTCTGATGAGAGCCTGCTTCCTGATTCATAGTTGGCTGTCTTCTCGCTGTGTTCACACATGGCAGAAGGGGTAAAGGAGTTCTCTGGGGCTTCTAACCCCCTGAGTTCAAAGGTCAACTGGAAGGTTTCCCCCACCTCTACTACAGTGTTTCTAACTTAGACTAAGGAGAGTTCTGCCCACCCCTCTTCCGTTTCAAACTTGTCTTGCCTATTCTGAGCCCTTTACTCTTCTGGACTTCTGAACTGTGGTGTTGGAAAAGACTCTTGAGAGTCCCTTGGACTGCACGGAGATCCAACCAGTCCATCCTAAGGGAAATCAGTCCTGGATATTCATTGGAAGGACTGATGCTGAAGCTGAAACTCCAATACTTTGGCCACCTGATGTGAAGAACCAACTCATCTGAAAAGCCCCTGATGCTGAGAAAGATTGAAGGCAGGAGGAGAAGGGGATGACAGAGGATGAGACGGTTGGACGGCACCACCAACTCAATGAACATGAATTTGAATAGGCTCTGGGAGTTGGTGATGGACAGGGAAGCCTGGTGTGCTGCAGTCC